AGTCGATGCAGTTCAATTTTGTTTTAAAAGCTTGATCTCTCTAAACTACCCTTGGCCAGCTGAGTGTAGGCATATATGGGAGTTTATTTATGTTTATATATACGGTTTCAAGCCTCAAAAAAATTATACTGTAGTAAAAAATCTTATAATTGATTTGAAAAGGCCAGATTTGAACGCTAGCTAGCTTTTGCATTGTGCTTTTTACACAATTCTGAAATGTCTGATCATAAAATTAGATTAAAAAAAAAAATTTATCATTTTGAAAAAGTTATCAGTAGATAAAACATTTTTTTTCGTTACTTATTGATAAATCGTACTACATAAGTATAGTACTCACGTGAAATAATTCGTAAGTTAATGTGTGTAATATAGTTTGTTATACAGTATTTTACAGTGAGTACCTGATATTATTACGTTTCTTAAAAAAAAGCAAATAAAATGTGCGATTTTAATATAAATCTTGAGCATGAAATGCTTTTATTAACTCTTAGTCTCTATAATAATCCGGTAATACCTCGAAATTTTGTCCAGACATTTGTTGAAACAATAATTCAATTTGTTAGAAAATCATTTTCATCGTACTTGGAACAACAAATAAAAAGTAGGTGTTATGACAAAAATTCCGAGGTCTTCATTCATTTTAATAACGTAATGGACGACGTCAATCACATATGTAACAAGTTTAATAACGAAAGCGCTCGCTTTTCTCTATACGTTGAAAAAGGGTTAATGATTGAACCTGTTGAACAAATAATAGGCTGTGATTTTACAGACACAGTGGTTGATGGCACTGTTACAAAAATTAAAAAACAGTTAAAAATACAGCGTATACCATTAAGATCGAGTTTAAAGTTGTTGTTAGAAGTGCCAGGCTCGTTTGATATTTTACAACAACATATGAGAAGCTTAAGTCTTGAAAAAACAATTATCAGCAACGTTATTCAAGGTGAGCTGTGACAAAAAAAATATGCGATAACAAAATTAGCTGAAAACGAACTTCTTGTTCCACTTCATATTTATGAAGATGAGTTCGAATCAGGGAACCCGTTAGGATCCCACGCAGGTCAACAAAAGTTTGGCGCTGTGTACGCATCTATACCTGCTTTTCCACCTCACATATCGTCTCAGCTAAAATTTATTATAGCCGCGCTTTTGTTTAAATTGGAGCACCGTAAAGAATACGGAAATAAAAAAATCTTTGAGCCATTGATTTCTGAATTGAATAGTTTGCGTAAAGATGGTGTATCTATAACAGTAAACGGTAAAAAAGTAACAGTTTTTTTTCAGTTAGTTTTGGTGTTAGGTGATAACCTTGGGTTAAATCAGATATTAGGGTTCACAGAGAATTTCAATTTTGGTAAGCCGTGACGCGTTTGCTATGCAGATATAAGCGAAATAAGAACATTATGTAGTGAAAAAATCAGTCTGTTACGAACTCGTGATTCATATGTACAAAATTTACAAAAAAATTATTATCAATTAACGGGACTCAAGGAGTATTGCATCTTTAATGATGTCGCTGGATATCACGTCTGTGACAATATTACACTAGATTTATTACACGATCTTTATGAGGAAGTGATTCCTAAAACAATGGTTCATATTTGCGAAAATTTAATTTAAAAAAAAAAAATTTTCACTTTAAATTATTTAAATACGCGCATAAAAATTTTTCAGAATGAAATAAATATGTCTAATAAAATACCAGAAATTAAAAAAGACCATATCATTGTAAAACGGAAACTAAAAATGTCTGGAGCTGAATCACTTAATTTTGCAAGGTATTTTGGTATTTTTGTCGGAAGCAAGGTCGATGAGGAGAACGAAGAGTGGGAATTGTATGTATTACTCAGGCAGATCATTGATATTTTTATTTCTCCTCGGCATGTACGAGGGCACATTGTCAGATCAAAAATTTTAGTTGAAGATTATTTGTTTCGTTACCAGGAATTATGTGGACATTTAACCCAAAAGCTGCACAATTTAACGCATGAGATGCGAGCAATAGAGTTAAATGGACCACCTATTTATTTTTCGTCGATACGGCAAGAGTCAAAACATAGGGAACTAAAACTTACGGCGGTAACTACAAATTGTCGTAAAAATGTCGCAAAAACTATAGCAATTAGAAGTCAACTAAAATTAGCTTACTTAAAACTAACTGGAGATTCAAGTTCCAATAATATAGTCGTTGAAATTTTTGAAGAAATCGATCCTCATTCACGTAGTATTTATTTTCCACATTGCGCCAATGATAATATCATTTCGACAGACGTCGTACAATTTAGGGGAACTTTTTATTCTATAGATCAAGTGTTCGTCGTAAAAATTGGCAATGATGATGAGCTAACGTTTGGGAAAATAAAAAAATTTTTTATTAACAATGAATTAATATACATGAAAATGTTATTATTTGAAACTGTTGCTTTTGATCAACATCTTTATGCATATCTTGTAAAGCAAACAAAGTCACATGTTTTGTTAAATATTTCAGATGTACCCGAAATTCACCCATGCACTTTTTTGGAAAACGATGGAAATCAATTAATTATACCTAAGTATGTTTTGTAATAAAATTTTTAAATAATTTTGTAGCAAAAAATTTTATAAGAAATATAATAAATAATACGTACTTGTAACCTCACATTGATTTTCAATATTTACTCCACCTTAATAAATTGCATTTGCATAAAAAAATCATATGCTCATGAGGAAAACTGAAAAGACCGAGCGTACTCTTACATTATTTCAGATAGATGACTTGGTTTAGGGAGCAAGATTTGCTTGGTTAGTGACAGGTCACATTTGCCTGGCTCACCCAAGCAGTTTCTGCTTGGCTCCCAAGCAAGTCTAGCCTATATATCGTTCCTTGGGTCGCACAGGCTAGAACAGCCGGACAGTCAGGCTACTCTGGCCGCTTTTTATTTTCAGTGTACGTTCAAAACGCTGTTTCAACCTTCATAAACGAATTCACCAAACGAAAAAAATAACTACGTAATTCTCATTATGTCAGTAACATGGAATTAACAACCTTTTTAAGCTCGATATCTTTTTAAGTGCGAAAAAAAAATAAAAACAAGATTCCTCCCATAAGACCTGTGTTATTTCTCCTCTATATTAGTCATATATATACTGAGGTCACATGGTAGAGGCATAATCCCAATAGAGAGAAGAGACCCCAGTGGTGGGGTGAATATCAACAGAGGAGCGGACCAGATTTTTCGTTGCATTTATCCACTCACGCAGCTGTTTACTGCCCTCCATAAGATGTTTCAGATGAAAAAATATCATTAAATTCATGTTTAGCGATCACGTAAACGTAAAACACACGAATTCGCCACAAGGATTCCATGATTACTTAAGTAATTACTGCTATTTCTAAGCAACTTTCTTGGGATGTTCCACTTGCTTAAAATACATTACAATAAATTTAACTTCCCGGTTCCTGATTACCGCAGCTGCTCTTGGTACCGATGTAGAATGGTAGAGCCTGTTTAAGTGTACTTATTTAGCTGGTACTTGTGTGGCACTTGAGCAATATTTAAGCTGTACTTGTGCGGGATTTGACCGGCACGGCAAACTCCCATTTATTCCGCAAAAGCATCAAATGACGGACGTTTCGTCACTTCCTCGAAGCTCACTAGTAAAGACATAGTGGATTATCACTCAAGTAATATCAACCCAAAAAAAAGTGACTGTACACGCGTAAGGCCGTGCCCGCCGTTTCCACACTCTTCCCCGCAGTTAATAGTTGCAGACCATTGGAAAGTTTTTAAAATGAATTTTTGATCTTACTTTAGGCCTATGTGTGCAGCAACGTATATACTCCTTTTATTTATGAAGCTAAGTTTAAACTTTAGAATTTTTTCAATAAACAATTTGCTTATACTTTAGTGCAAGACAAATACTTTTAACTCTTTCTTTAATTTATAATTTTGGTATTACAGGAAATAAAAAAATCATGAAAGGTATGCATGAAACACTTTGTGAAATAATTTGTAAGTGAATGTGTGTAAAGTAGTTTGTTATACAGTATTTTACAGTGAGTACCTGATATTATTACGTTTCTTAAAAAAAAGCAAATAAAATGTGCAATTTTAATATAANTATTATTATTACTATTGTCATTATTATTTTTTTATCATTATTATCATTATCATGATTATTGTTATTATTATCATTACCATGAAGTGGATTTAAAATAATTACATGATTCTTAGCCAAACAAAGTTAACTTAAGTACTTAGTTTTGGAATAAATAAAATAAATATTCTGAAAAATGATGTGAAACGTTATTAATAAACAAGTAATATCACTCATACTTAGTTGGAGAAGTGTTACCTGTTCCTGACAAATTTTCTGCTACCTTGTAATACGAGAAGTATACGCATACAAGCATCTATCCTTGTTATAGTAAAATGAAACCAAATTTTTTAGATTGATAGGTAAAAAAAACTCAACTTTTTCATGCTTTTGACACCAGAACTGGAATGTTGGAGAAGATGGAAAGTTATTTTGATAAACTTTGGTAAATTTTTGTCAACCACAATATCTCGAACCCATGTTGGCACGGTTTCATTCAAAAGCACGCCCTCCGTTTCACCCGCAGCATCCCGTACGAGCAGTCTATACAGTGTCCTACCTCCAACTTCACTATAAATGTGAAAAATATGACAAAGAAATAGTTTTTATTTCTACAACTTGTACAAGAAAAGTTTTTACCTAAAAATAACAGGAGTATGTCCAGGAACTGAGAAGTAGGGATTACCCCCTCTTGTGTGTCTTGGATTGCTCCCATCATTACTATTACTATCAATTTCATCATCCCCGTTAAGTGGTCTCCACCAATGTTCTAACAAAGCTTGTAATAGTAGGTTTCCATAGTTGACTGAGATTAAAATAGATAAAGTCCTCTTTAAATTAAAAAAAATTTTATTTATTAAAATAGTATAAAATGTCAAATACCCTTTTGATCTACACTATCATCATTAACCAAACCAGTTTCTTTGGCAGAAACCCATGCTGACAAGCAATCATTTTCGTCTTGCCCCAAATGTATAGTGAGCATCTAAATTAAGTAAGATATAAGTGGTTGCTACAATTTTTATGATTGAAAAAAGAAAATGTACTGGACAAACCCCAGTTTTAAGATCAACATTGAACCAATTGGGAACATAAACCATCTTATTTCGCATTTTGACTTCTTGATCGAAATCGACAGGGCCTAAATCTTCTACTTTGCAAGCTTTTAACACATCGTACAAAGCAACGTTTTCTTCAGTGTCTTTTGTCAAAACATACCTTCGATCGTTAAGAGCATAACAATGCCTAACAGCTGGTCCACCAAGTATTTTCTGGACAGGTTCAATATTTCTAGGAGGCAACAAGCCTGTCAAGCCTACTGCATCTGGATTATAATCGCCGCATTGCCAGTCCTTTTGATTGATACTCTAATAGATGTACCAGTAATGAAAAACAAAAATTCTATAATATAATGTGAAGTATAAAATGTGGCTCATTAAAAATATACAATTTACCCAATTATTAATAGTGGAGTCGCTGGTAGCTACCCACACACTTGATTGGTCTGGTATCATAATCATTTTCAAAATTGGAGCTTTTTCTTCACAGATCAGAGTTATTTTTTCAGGATTTCTTAGGTCAGTCATAATGATACGCTTATCCCTACCTCCAGAAATAACATGGCTAAAATTTTCAGTGGCCTGAAATATTCTTTTTAGTACTCATACACTGTGTAAAAAACCCTTAAAAAGTTATGTAGTTTATATAAAGCAATAACTTACAAGTAAGGCCCATACTCCCTCACTGTGCACTCTGTATGTCTGTATGCATTGTTGCTGACCAACAGACCAAAGCTTTACTGTACCATCTGAACTTGCAGATAAACACTGACTGCCATCTCTGTTTACAACCAAGGCCTTGATATTATCTTGATGGCCTTTGAGTTTCATTAATTTACTGCAGGTTCTTGGATCCCATATGCGAAGGACTTTTTCAGTGCTGCCACTAACAATAATTGTTCCAGATGGGTTCATTGCTAAGCTGTATATTGAATCTTTGTTACCAGTGAGAGAAGAGGCTGTAATTTAAAATAGAAGTTATAAAATATAATTTAAATTTGGCAACATATACATAGTCACGAAATCAATCAATACTGCAATGCAACTATAAAATCCCTTAAAAACTTTAGTACATATTTAAAAAAACTACTTCAACTATACAAACACGTGTACAGATAATTTTAATACGTTATAAAAAAAACTCACTTGTTACCGTATTATTGCTGGCTGTTAATGCCGTTAGGGTGTTGACATCCCACAAGAAGATAGCTTTATCCAAGCCAGCACTTGCGACCTGTTCTCTGTCTTTAGCATAAGCTAGTGCCTTCACATAATCTTTGTGAGTCCTTAATGTTGACATACAAAACCCCTTGTGAGCATTCCAGACTTTGACTGTTGTATCAGAACTAGCTGATATTACTTAAAAATACAAATGTATTAATCTGACATTTACTTTTTAAATCAACATTCAAATAATGTAGTTTAGTTATCAACACGCCATTAATCACAAATATTGGAGAATTTTATCGAAGGGATAAAAGGGTGCCTTAGGTGCAAGATTACACAAATAAACTATTGAATACTTTGGATTCACTATGATTCCCTGGATGTTGTACTTATTAATATATGTCTAAATTTATAATCTTAATGGTTCTGACAATTTTAAGTAATACTTCCTATGCTTGAACTACATACCAGATTTTGAATAAAATTTAACTCCCCCTTAAATATAATTGTAAAAATAATTCAGTTAAAACTTGGTCAGCTTGCACTGTGTAAAAGAAAAGTTACACATATTTTTATTTTGTTGTATTTAACATTAATGCTAGTCAGAAATCACCACAGCAAAATTCTAGTTCCAGTTTTTATTAAAAACTGCTATCTAGTTTTTATTAAAAATCCTAAGATACTCAAGAATCAAGGTATATTTGGCTCAAGTCAAAATTTTAATTCAGCATGCTAGAAAAAAATTAGTATCAAAAATTTTTTTTTTAGTGTTCAGACATCTCAGTAGACTCAATAAATAGCCAGGCAAACAAATTTACAAGACTTAACACTCATACTTACAAGTAACACTGTATCAAGGGTACTAACTCAAATAAATTTCTTTCAACAAGCTTGATGTAACTATTAAGCTTGAATCTTTGAACAATTATTGAACTTAAATTAAATGATTTTATAAGGAGGAGCATTGCAGTGGATAATTTTTAACTATAGACAGTAAAATTAGAAAATCAATAATCAATTGCTTACAATTTTTGCCACCGCAACAGAGCACAATATCATTCACCCAATCAGTATGGTGTTCCATTGAATCCATGTAAGGATCCTTCAAATTCTTGCAATTCCATATTCTAATAATACCATCTCTGCCAGCTGAGTAGAGTCTGTGAAGAGCTGGGTCATACTGGAGTGAATTGATTCCAGCTCTATGCCTTCTTTCTTTTTCATCCCTTATGACCATTGATACCTTTGGAAAAACAATACCATTATTGGTAATTCGAAATGAAACTTATTCTTATAACAATCCTTGGTGATGTATCAATGTACACAATTAGGCCTCTGTACATAAGTGCTTTAAGACTACTGTAGCAGCAGCATGGGACTCGTTAAAAATAAATGATTATAAAAAAGAAGTGCAGTCACACAAACATACAAGGCAATGAAGTTTGAGTTAATGAGTAGCATTGAAAATTCTAGAGGATCAACAAGAAAATCGAAGGAGTCCTGTTCATGGTAAAACTAACACGCAACAAAGTTTGTAGAGTTTAAACTTTGTTATGTTAACGCTAGATCGAAGAGTATGAAATGTAAGAGAAAGGCGGGAGAAAAGCTGTGTAGTTGTAATGCTTTACGAGTTCTAGAATTTCAGAATGAGCATAAAAAAGGGCCCCAAAGACTCGAACGCCTACCTGCACTTTTTTTCGGGCACTGGGACCACCTGCTTTGTGCGCAGCCATATCCTCTGCTCAAGTAAATATGTAACTTTAATTCCTTAACTTGTAGCCACTTGCCTACCGATCGTTCACAGGCTGCTGAACGCTGAACCCCAAACCCCAACCCATTGTACACAGTTCCCGACTGTCCTGACTCCTGACTCCCGGGAACATGTCAACAAGGCATGAGGTGATAAGGTTCGTTTAGTGTTGAGCTTGGAGTAGCTGGGAGCTACCCCGAGCCTCCGAACTTCACCCCAAACAGGGTTGTTAATCAAATCTACATAGATTTGAGCTCGGTGAACTGTGCGAACAACTTTCATGTAGCAATAAACTAAAAATACCAAAAATTGCGGAATCGTTTGTAGGTTTTGCAATTACATTGCACAAAATTGCCAATTGCTTCGTTTTTTAATAAAAAATTAAATAATGTACTGCCTGCGAAAATTAATTAAACGATTATTGTATCTTAGTGGTACTATCTGCAACATTGGAATGACAGCCAATCGTTTGCAATTTTATTTCCAGTGACAAGGGTGTATGCAAAATAGCGAAACTCGCTGTTTTTGTTAAATAATAAATTGCTTACTTTAGCGTATAACCCAGCTACTCAGCGGCCTCAGCGCCGTGAAATTATATAGGGTCGACGCATGCGCAATACCATACTCTGTAACTCTGTTACTTGCTCAGATAACTCTAGTAATCTAGTGATCTAGTTAGAACCAGATTTCCTAGAGTACCTACTGAGTCAATCTCCATCTTAGAGAATATATACATGGAGGAAGCATTGTATGCTCCGACCGCGAGACGAGATGAGAGAGACAAAAGACAAATAGCAGTACAACCTTTCTCTCTCTTACACGCCTCTGATTGGTTNTGGGCTGGAAAATCCACGTGGATCAACCTGCAAATCCAACTGGATTGGCTGGAAAATTTACGTAGATCGACCTGGATATCCACCTGGATGGGCTGAAAAATTCACGTGGATCTATCTGGAAATGGCTGGATTTCCAGCTGGACATCCTGGATCCACCTGGATATTTTTGATTGGGATTCCTATCCCATATACCTCTCATCGTCATTGACTACCAGCTCCTAGCAAAATGAGTCGCTGAAAAATGCTCCATCTGGTGATGTACGTTTAGAATTTGAATCTCACGATAATTTTTCGGCCAACACATCAGCCTATTGCTTAATCCTGCATGCTCGCATTGTTTAATACAATCCGTTGAGCGGAGATGTCAAGAAACTCATGTAAAGTAGTGGTAGGGGTAGACGGTAGTCGTGGGGATAAAACTATGATGGCTCGTGCCCAGCCCCGTTAACATTATTCGTCTTTCAACCATCATGGAGAGAGGTTACAGCAGCAGCAGTAGCAGCAGCAGCAGCAGCAGCAGCTGGAACAGAGAAGAAAAAGAGAACAAGCCAAGATAAGAAGAGTGGGATAAGTTTGGGAAGAGCCGCGAGGAGAGGAAATTGGCTCAGAAAAAATGTGAAGACAAATCTAAATATAAAAAAAAAATGTGGTATTCCTCGAAAAGCTATTTATACATCACCCAAATCGTCCATACTGGGAAAACGTCAGAGTGCGGAAAAGGAAGATTAAAATATAAAATACAAAGAGTGTGAAAAGTTCATTGACAGATATGTGAAGTAGACTGAGCAGAAAAAGAAAAAAGAATCGGAAAAAAGTAATGAAAAATAGTGATCCATTAGGGAGGTGAACATCAACTACCAAAAAAGGTCCTAAGCATTTGAGACTAATGGATTACGTAGTTGATATTCAAGGTTTTAAACAGCCTCTTGATGATTTTGTTCTCAAGGAGTTAGCTATACTACCACTTCATTCTGTTAGTGAACCTATTCGCTACGTGCACAAGCTGAAAAAGCGATCGCAGCAATACCTGTTCTAATATGTGAAACTAAACGATAGGTTTGTCTTTTGCTAGCAGACTGCTAAGCATTACTATCATCAGAAAGTTATGTGTTTATACATCGACAACCATTCTAAGGATTAAATTTTTAATAAAATTATGAGTAGTATGTACATATTTTACTCAGGCATGTTCATTTAAAAATGCAGTGAAATACATTGGATACTGTGTATTTCTGAGAGTTTTTAGCTGGGGTCTGATCCTCAAAGCGTATCGTATGAACGTGTGTACATACTGTGTGAACACGCCGGTATAGGGCTAACGGAGCTCTCTGATTGGTCAGAGGAGGTCTGNATATAGGTTATTTTCTGATGGTTGCGTATGGCGAACCTTGATGTTTATTTACAATTTTTCGACTTGTTTGTATTACCCGTCCAGAATTAAATATCCCTATTTAATGACGCAAACTTTATGACACAGGTTTTTCTTGATACACTTCTGATAAGTTTGTATAAGAAAATTCTTTATACATTTGTATCATGTCTTACAAGCAAATAACTATCCATAAACTATATAGGATCATACACATTTAACTTCGTGTATATTATTTTTTTCTTAGTATTTTGATGTATTCTCGGTATACAAGGTCTTATAAAATATGTCAGGTGCAAATACACACATATATTCTTATAATTTTAGTCTTTAAATGGTGTCATATGATGTTATTAAATGATTCTCGTCTAATTTCTACTGGTTTGGTATTTAATGCGGATATGACTGACAATGTCAACATGAAACTTCTTGTCTTAGGGCCCACGGAGATGAGCTTGCCAAAATATTGTGTAAATATTAAACGAACAACTACAATTGTGATATACATGTTCTGACATGTGCTTCAATGTAACGGATTCACAAGATATCGATGGATTCCCGCGTGACGTAGGTACATTTATATTAGTTAAGCGATTTATATCAGTTTTTCTTCATTTGAATCCAATGTTGCCATAGCTCAGCGGTAACACGTTGGATTCACATACCGGTGGACTCCGGCTCGATTCAAGCTCACGGTAAAATATTTCAAATTTAATTTTCAAGGTGGTAATTATTATGAAGTTATGTAAGTGCGTGATGAATAATAATAATTGTCAGACTTAAATTTATAAACTATATCACATTAAATAAATATACTTAGTAATTGAAATATGATCTATATTGAGGCTCTTAAGTACGTAAAAACACATAAGATATGTGTAAAGATAGTCTAGTCAAAGGCAAGCCGCGAAAAAAGGCACGTTTAATACGTTTTTTATTTTTACAAATGATTATTTTAAATTTCAATAAAGTATTTTTATTTGACTGAAAANAATTAAAATCAACTTTAGGTAAGTAATAATTATTGAAGACATTTATAACTAATTTTGTTTATTGAAGTTTTACAAAATAAGTACGGGTATATTCTCTAAGATCTCCATAGTGAATCTCATATGAAATGGTCCATGGACTGCAGCCCATGTTTCTGCAGTTCAGTGTCCTTTCTAGCTATTACAGGAGCTATTCACATAGACATTTTTTGCTTATTTTATTGTGAACGTTCATATTAAAAATGGGGTTCCACTGTTGGTTCCAAAAATGTCTATGTAAATAGCCCCACAGAGCGTGTTTCTTCAGTCGATAAGTTTCATTCCGTGTATATGTCACTATATGTACACTTCGATTTCGTGAATGTTCATTTTAATGTTTTTGACTATGTTCCTCGTGAAAGCAAAAATCTTTTTATTAAATGTAATTTCTTAACATTGATCATTATGTACTAATAATTTTTGCTCCGTTTGCAATGCCACGTGTTATCCTAACACTTACATTGGTGCCCTGAGGATGACGTCAGCATGACGTCGAAATATTGGCTTTTATGTTAGTTGTGTAAATANAGATATATGTAACCTAAGCTCTGATGAAAAAGAACTTATATATTACAAGAGAATATAGAATATATCCTCTTTAAGTATAGAAGGCCAAAGCGGAATTCCGAGCAATACACACTAAAACAATAATCTTCCATTGGAAAATAATTAAAACAACAAAATTTGAATAAAAATTTACAATTTTAATTAAAGCCCTCATACCTGGTTAAACACTTCATGTATGGCTAATGACTTAGTTAGAATGTTTGTCTTCGATAGCTGAGCGGTCAAGAATGCTACAGATTTTCTAGCCCAACATCATTTTCGGATTCATCTCCACTTAAGTGCTGGCACTGATAATGTAAGTAACATGGAGTCTAATGATGAAAATGATTTGAACGTAAATGAGTCTGGAAACGAGACCGATTTAAGTGGAGATGAATCCAAAAATGATGTTGGGCTGGAAATTCTGGTGGAAAATCAAATTGAAAATGACGAGTTAGAGGAAGATGTGCAATTTTTTGTTAACAATTTGCACTTACGAGCTGGAGCGGGTATACGTTGTCTGCTTTACATCAAACTATTTGTTTCAACAATGTTTTCTTACTGGAGCTGATAATATCAACAAATTTTTAATAACTTTTAGGTGGGCGATTCGAGAATGAATTAGTAGTTAGAAGGAGAAGGCGACACTTAATTTGTAAGTGTATCAAAAATTTGTAGAGTTTTAAAGTAGTTAAAATTTCATTGGAAAATATTATTTACTAGAAGCATATTTTAACAAATTGCTTTTATTTATTGAAAACAAAAAATTGTCTTAATAGTACTGATATTCACACAAATTTAAATACACAAATACAAGTACAATATTAAAATAAATTCATAAATTGTTTTCAAAACTAATTTCAAAATATCACTAGCGTACGATTTTGAATACATAAAATAAAACAATGTTTATTATCATTTTTAGTGCAAGATGCAATGTTGATTCATGAAGCTGAACTAATTCCTCATGAAGCAGCCCAACTTCCGCTAGCTCCAAGAGAAGGCAGAGTACGCCGTGGCAGAGGCAGGCCTCGGCAACATCAACTGCGTGCGGCAGCTGCAGAAGTCAACGAAGAAATAAAAGCTGTCCATGACCAAGAAAACGAAGATCCTGAGCTAGGCGATGCAGGCCAATTACCGCGAGCTCCAAGAGGAGGCAGAGCTCGCCGCGGTAGGGGCAGGCCTCGGCAACATCAACTGCGTG